AAATTGTATCGTTTATATTTGAAATTTATTATCGCCATTCGATTAGTCCGGCTTATGGGATGTCGTGAAACTATCCGTCCGTTCCCTTCTCTTCTATCTCCGGTATTCTTTCCGCGGCGTTCGTCGTCCCTTTCAGCGCTCCTCCCGCTCGATGCTTCTCGCGCCGTCTCGTCGCCGGCCTAATTTATCGTTCCTCAACTTTTTATTAATTTCTTACCGCTCGCGGAATCGCGATCGCATTAAAAGGAACGTCCACGGTCGTTCAACGGTCACCGAAATGCATCGGTACACAGACGGAATGCCGTCCCTAATTTTTCGCTCTCCCCCTCGCGAGGATCCTCCTCCTGTCCTGTTCTTTTAGCGCGCGGCGCCCGCTGGACCCTAAGCCTCTTCTCTGGGCATCGATGCTATCGGCAAATCTTCAGAAGAAACACATTTTTCCGCAAACTACCGAGCTACTGGCGCTTTAACCCACCCCTCTTCTTTTGAATAAAAAGGGGCGCGTTGAAAATTCCGGAACCGTTCGACCGTCTCCTGATCCAGCCGAGCCTTTAACCCTTTACGCTACCAGTTGAAAGATAATAATGGGAGATTGTTGCGAAAGAAAAGCAATACGGTGCTACGCAAGTGACACCGACCGATAACACGGATAATGAGTGTAATTACTGATAATATCGGTAATAAGTGTCTTTGTCCGAACATAACAGCTCGAGTGATTGTTAAACTCGTTGTTATTTAGAAAGCGAAATTCTGAGGCAACAAGTTCCGCTCGAGAACTGGTGCCGACCAATCGCAGGAATTTCAATCAGACGGTTCACGAGTGTTAGCGAAATTCGAAACACAATCGTTCGAAGAGTAAAGTAAAAATAGGAGGGAAAAAACGGTAACGACACCCGTGTCGTAAGAGTGTAATGTTTATGCATGGGCTGCGAAACGAGCCGAGCCGAGGAATAATGCATCTGTAACCAATTATGCGAGGAGAAGAAGCGAGTGAACGAGGCGAGAAGGAAAGTAACCAACAAAAATCGACAATTTTGCTGTCAGATATTTCTTTACTTTCTTTCAAACTTTCTTTCCCACAAAAATTCCAGAGAAATAAAAAATAAAGAACAACCGTTCAAACTTGTGTAATTCTTCAAAAATGTGGTTGGTCCGAAAGAAGAAGAGAAGGTGAATCAAGAGGACCCTTTAAATCCGTTTTCACGGCAAGCGCATAAGTCAGAAACGATTTTTCTCAAAGGCCGGCTCCCTTGGCATCTACGTTATGACATACATATATACCTTAAGGACCTTAAAGGGATCTCCGATGGTGGGGGTGTAGGAACGTGGAGAACGGAGTAGAAGTGGGTGGGGGTAGGGGGCACAGGGAGAAGGAGAATAAGGCCCTGAAGGGTCCATGGCTCGGAGTATATGCAGAGAACGCGGTGCACCAGTTATTTATTGTAGCTCCCGTTTATGCTTTATTTGTTATTTGCCTGGTCGACTGGCTGGCTTGACTGCCAGCCCACGTAGGTGTACCAAGTACCTACGAGGGTACCTTATCTACCTTTCAGACATGCGTTACACAGCCGTTCGGCTTCGTTCAGATGAGCCAGATTCGCATAATTGGCCGCTTAATACGGAGCACTTTTTTCCTTTTCTTTTTATTCGACGACGACCACGTACAACCCTCGAATCGAATAGAATTTTTTCGTCTGACCTTTGGGTGGCTTTGATTCCTTGATGACCGTAACACGAGGTTAATGAGATCTTCTCGGAAAACTGTGATTCGAAGGTTGTACTTTGCATCTGATGGACGTTAGATTCCTTCCAGCGACCATTTAAGAAATCCCCATTAAGTTACACTTCTGTTATTACCGTATTTGTTTTATACTCGTGAAATCTATTATCAACTAGTCGCAACACCGATAAAACGTTCAAGGCTCGACTTACGTTCGGATGCTTTTAATAAACGACTTCATTAATCGTGCGTGAAACATTTGTCAATGATGAAGAAGTATCGATACTCGAACTGGACGTAACGAGATCGTAAAGTAACGAGTCAGTCCGAAACGTGAAATTATTTCATTAAAGCTTATCAGGAGTTGATCGAATGTAAAAATTTTCGAGGGATGTCAGAACGTTATAACGCGACGCGATAGAATCCACGGCTTAAGCTGTTAATTAAATTGTATTTAACGCGAATTAATGAGCGTACGTATCAACGAGCCTGTTAAGCCTGCACCGTAAATGAATGTCGAACAGGTGCAACTCTGGCAGTCGTGGTTCACGGATGTCGACAGTAATTGTTCGAGTCGTAAATTGCCTGTAATTGTTAAAGCTTGTCCCTGGCATTCGATCTTATATTGTGCGTTCGTTGAAATTTCAAAGCAGACAGAGATCAAGAATTATCGATTATTAAACAATGCATTCCAAACCGTATAGAATATTTTCTAAAGTGCTTTCTAAACATCGTTCGAGCTACTCGACGAGTGATTCCAACATTACTGAATATTCACTTGTACATCGAGAAGCTATGACTTTCGAAAATACGGTAAATTTCCATTAATATCGATGATGGAATAACGCTTCAAGCTACGCGGAGTTCTCCTTTTGCGGATTTGGAACCGTAGGATAGAAGAAATTTCGATGAATAAAAAATTTCTCATTTCTCTCAAAAGGGTTGAACTTACTCTTTGGAGAGTAAGTGAAAAACAGTGGAAAAAGATAGAAAGGAAAGGTGGTGAATCGAGTTCTATGGCAATTGCATCGTGTTGCAGTAACCCGTTACACGCACGCGTGTAACCAAGCTGAAAGTTAAGTCATCCGTGTCGTAACGACGTTCTTAAGAGTAGCTGGACGACTGGACGACTGGACGACTGGACGACGCAAGGTGGTGGTTGGTCGGGTAACATCGATGTGAAACAACGTGAGAAGCATGATACAGTGAAAAGGGAGAAGAAATAAGTTCGAAGGAGATGCTACACGAGAGGGTTCTCTCTTCGAAGGGTGGGAGGGCGAGAAGAGGGTTACAGAGGGCCGAAGACACCGCGAGAAAGAGAGAATAATGCGTTAAAGCAGCAACCAGCAACTACTCTAATTGGCCACTTTGTCCATTTATTCGATTTATTTAAATTATGGGACAATTGACAGTAGGCATTCTATTTTTTAAATCTCCCCGGCCAACCGGCTGATTGGGCGAGATTGGCGTGAGACACTGGCCCCACAGATTCCCCAGTTGTGGGCTTAATCAGCTTTGATTGCTGCCTTCTCTCTCTCTCTCTCATCTCATCTCTTTCTCTTTCTCTCTCTCCTTACTCTCCTCTCCTGTCATTTTTTTTTCTTCTCCGTGTCGGCGAACGAGACACGGCCGTCGAACAATGCACAATTTTATTTTATTCCGTTTCAGCGTGGATCTTGCGACCAGTTTAATATCGTCCGGCAGCTCTAAACGTTGATTGGCCGATCCGAAATTGTGGGAATGTGTCTCTGGATAACAGAGACACTGGACAGTAGCCGCCCACTCCTCTCTTTCTCTCTCACTCTCTCTCTCTCTCTCTCTCTCTCTCTCTCTCTCTGACCCTTCTTTTCTTCTCTTCTCCTTTGTCAAACGATTACCATAATTTCCGCTGACACTGCTGATTCGTCTCTTCGTTTTTCGATGAAAATTTCTCTGCGCTTCGATAAAGAAAATCACGCCGAATAGGGTTTTTTATATTCGAGGGAACTACGTAAAAGGAAGAATGTACCGGAGGCAGCTAGAGAAAGGTATCCGGGTTCCGCTATCTTATTTATAAACGAGTATCGATACGATTATGTAACGTTGCGGCTCTCTATCTCCGCGATGTCCTATAATTAATGAAATTCCCATCGAGTCACTGACTTCTCTATCCCTTATAGACCGATCGATCGCTGTGGCACCGTGGTCGATCTAAAATTAAACTGGTGTCGTTTGAATACGTCGAGAATCTTCTCTTTTGTCTAGAGACTTTTTCGTCTCTTTGTATCTTATACGCTGTTAAGATGCTTCAGAATCAAAGAAGAAAATGAAGCAACGCTGCTGGTATCTAAAGAGATTTTAATCGAACGATGAAGCGACGCGTCGAAAGTATAATTTTTTCGAGTGGCAGCACCGTTAAGGGTGGGTGTACGCGTTATGGGGGACCTGCATGAATCCGTTTCCACGCCATCGTCTTCCTCTCTTTCCTGATCGTCCGCGAACAGGCAACAAACCCCCTTCAGCCCCCTCGTGGGACCCACTTGCCACGCTCATCCTATTTCCTTGATAATTCCCATAATGCTGTGGGCGGATATTCCAATAAAGGGGGAAGAGCCCCCGGCCACAAAACACTGAAAGCATGGGACACGACGACCACTCGTTTCGTCAGGTTGCACACGATTTACGAGCCTACACCGGACTTCAATCGAATAAATACAAGTTCTTCGGTGAACCAGATTCACGTGACCGTGGGAATTGATAATTAACCCCCTTAGATGCGGGGCCATTGTGCGCCAAGTATTTAGATAATTTGGAAAAACTTGACCACGGTTCGAACGTGACAGTATCCTGTATTATTTTACGTTTACGCTAGTTAAGGGTTGATCGCATTAACAAATACGCTCCACCTTTACCCCCGCTTTAAAGCGAATCTCTTATCCTAAGAAACTGATTGATTGATTGATTGATTGATTGTTGAAAGTCGTGGCATCGAATGAAGATCTTTGTCTCCGCGTTAATAACAGGTTTTTAACTCGCAACAATTAAGAAAAAGAAAACGAGCTTTAAATCGACTGGTTCAACCAGATCGTGATGGTCAATTTGAACGCGATGCACCGTTGCTCGCGACCCCTTCGATATTTTTTTTTTTGTTCTTTTTCTTTTTCTTTTTTTCTCTTTCTCGCTCCTTTTCCTGTCTGCGCACGCCTGTGTCGAGGCGCAAGGGTCGTCGAACGGCAAACACTCGATTTGAATCTAATTACGATCCCGATAATTCCGTAAGGAGGCGGAAATAGTAACTCACCGGAAACCTTCGGGTCAGCTGCCTCCACCTTCATCGCCGCCAGGCTCGCTATTGTCGGCGGTACCTAAAAAGAAAATACATTACGATGTACAATGCACCAGCATGCTCAGGGCCGTGCTCGCGAATGGAGACGAAAGAGGGGCCGCCCACGCAACTCGATGGGGGGAGGATTTAACGGGGTTGCAAAGGGCAGAGTGCACCTCTACGAATCCGCGACACGTGTCGTTAAAAACTTCAATAGATCGAAATTATACGAGCCTCGCGTGGACCTTTTAGGAAAATCGACCCCAACCCCTCGGAGAGATTACGATTTTCCGAGCGTACGTCTAAAGTTTTTTTTCTACCTTTTTTGTTTAGGGAGCTACTGGTGCACGTGAATTTGTTGTATGCTGTGCCCCTTGTAGTACGATGAATTTGGCTGATCTATTTCGTACACGTGGCAGCTGGATAATATCCATGGAAAATTTTCAAGTATTTCATACGAATTCTACGAATCGAATGTTGGTCGTTAAACGACAGGAAATTTCTCTTTCATTTGCCCATCTTTCAAGTAGGAGTCACAAGTGGATAATAAATAATATGTTGCTGTTAACAATGGTATCAAGATTAAGAGAGGAAATAATTTATGAATGTTTTTCTAACTGTACACAATGTTCCACATAGTAAAACGTCGACTGTTATTGCGTTAAGAAAGATTTGAGTGGTATGTCATCGACACCGATACGATCCTGCACGCATTTGAAACCGTTAACCTTTACTCGCGCTTCGAATTTTTGCGACGGTAGAAACTGTGTCTTGATCGTTAACGACATCCTCTTCGGTGCGCTACGTGAAGCGGAAACGACTTCCGGTTCCTCGGAAACGTTCAAGAATCCAAATATCAGGTCGATTTCTGAGGTCATCGGCCTTGCCGATGCAACTTGCAAATTTTTTCCACTTTAAAAACCAATGGTTCTGGATATAATTACGTTGTAAGATTAAAATGGATCATCCCGCATACATAATTCAACCGGAAAGAGGAATATACCACGAACGTATGGTGTTGAGTTTACCAGCGTCGTTTGCTCAAAGGGTTAAAACTGAGAAGAGGGAGAAAAAAAAAAAAAACAGGAGAAGGTTGTCAAGAAGCGCGAAAGGGACAGCACAGTTGCCCGGAAGCCCCATCGCGGTGCAAATTATTCGAATCCTGTACGATTTCCGAAGCCCTATCCGAGATGCCGATCCGTGGCGTCGCTGAATTTATGAAAGCGATTGCCACACTCTGTCCATCGTTTGTCTTCTGTCTCCGCCCATCGTTTCCATTTTCTACCCGAACGTGTCGCGTCTATTTTCTTCATCTTACATCCGAAGGAATCGAACGCGTCTCACGTGCACGATAATCGCGTTCCATCGATTCCCTGACCAACGATCGACCATTTATATTCCGTGTCCATAATTATCGACGACCTTCGATGCCCAATATTATAGGATCGATGCGCGGATCGAATTGCAATGCGACGGAAACGATGTCTCGCGAACGATTTCCCGCGGAAATCGATCGCGAAAATTCAATCTCTGTTCCGAGGAATTTTACGTTACAGAATCCTCAAAATCGTTAACCTACATTCGATACGGCAATAATGTTTCAATAAATCGTCCCTCGTGAACGGTTCTATCCTTGAATGATTCACGACGTTAGAAGCTAAACGTGATAGAATTCGACTCAAGGTGTTTGACAGGATCAAGGTCAATCGAACAATTTTTTTACCATGAGTAAGAAGCAATTAGCTAATCCAGGTCACGAAGCAACCATCTTCCAAAGAAGATACTCCCTTCCCACGTAGAAGGAGACTTCGATGCTTTGCGAAGACCAAAGCGCACACACGTGTACACAGATTGGAGAAAGGATTACGAGAGACTCTCTGAACTCTATATTCTCCAGTCTTGTTTTATATTAATATTCAAAAGAGTACAACGTACGAGACTGCGGAAGACTGTCTCAAGGAAGAGAAGAAGAAAAGAAAAAAAGAGAAACGACCCCGAGAACAGTGTTCCAGCCCCCTTTCCAGACATCAGAAAGTCAATACCGCTGCCAGAACGTGCTCCACAAAACGGATTTCGATTGCAGAGTAGCCCACACGGGATCTCATAGAGTCCCATTCGGTTCGGATGGAAACGATGAGAAAAAAGGAAGAAAGCAAAGGCAGAAGAAGAGAGCCAGAGAAAGGAAACCAACGATCATAGAAACAAATAGAGGATACCATAGTTGTTACAAGCGTGTGTGCGTGTATGTACGTTCTCTACGAGGAGGACAATCCACGACAACGAAGAAGAAGATCGAGCACGAAATGAAAGAGGAAAGGGTAAAAGAAGAACATCCAGAGGGAGAGAGAAGGGAAAGACAAGAAGAAGGAGGGAAGAGAGTACTGAGAAGAGGGCAAAGAGGGAACCGGGGAGAGTATAGAGGTATATGAGAAAACAATAGAGCTGATTTGCAAACAATAGAATAACGTTAAGAGTCGAGTATTATACGCCGTTGTTACTTCTTGTGCCATAACGCCGGAGAGCATATGCCCATTAATATTCAAAGGCGAAAATAATGTAAACGACACGACAAAAATCGGGGGAATAATTTCAATTCTCCCCGTATGGGATTCCAGCCTGGCGATACAACAACACCGAGACTCACGGCCCATTTCGTGTGTGTCTCTTCTCTTCTCTTCTTCTTTAGCTACGTACACATATGTATATATTTAGCTCGACCGAGAGTACCGAGTCACCGCTTACTTCGACTCCCATAGAACGAAAACCATCCTTTTCCGCGAATTTCCCTCCAACCAGACGAAAACACCATCGTTCCGCGGACCGAAGATGGATCGGTTAAACGGGGTAGTCTCGCGCGAAATCAACATCTTGGATACCTTCAGCAGTGCAAAGGGTTAAATTTCCTGAAATAAGCCGACTCGGAAGTTCTCGTTTATTGGAATAAAGCTGGCATGAATATACCTACTGAATGCAGGGTGTGTCGAAGGATGGTGCAGAATGTTAATTGTTCTTTTAGAAAGTTAATTCCACGAGGACTGACGTAATCCTTTTTGACTACACCGAACCGCCAACGTTTTCAGAATTCCACGCCGCTATTGAATCTACTCTCGATCATTGCGATTAAATAGCAATAACGGATGATCGATTTCTCATTCTTATCACGAACGAAGAATCGTTAAAGTTTAATAGGAAGAGTTAACCCGTTGATCATCCTTTCGAATATTGGAGAAGAAATTTTTATAAATGAGAACTATGTCAATCATCCAACGAAGAGAATAAACTCTCGTTTCGAAACTCAATCGAATCCACCTACCATTGATTTTCTGCTCAGCTTCAAGGATACAGGGTCCTCGAATCGAGTCTCGGAGCAATTGTTCCACGGAGCAGCCTCGCGATAAGATAAATCACAGGATGCTGTCCAAATTTCACGGGAAAGCTTTATTGCTCGCAGCCAGATCGTTTCTTCTCGTTTTCTTTTTACTTTTTTTTCCTCTCTTTCTCTCTCTCTCTCTCTCTGCATTCGACCGTTTGATTGCGACGCGAATCGAGGGGAAAGGAATCATTGTTCTCGATTATTTTATGGGAACACGTACATATACGTCTGAACGAATTAAGGTCAAAGAATCAGGGACCTCTCCTCTTTCCACGCGACGGATTACGCCAATGGATATCGCGACAAATTATTGCTGCTTGTTCGTGGTTCCAGGAACCCCTGAATTATTCTAAACTTGCTATACTACACGTTTCTCGCTGGAATTTCAGTCTTTACGACTGCTCGACGAGTCACCATCGACTCATCAAAAGTTGTACCGCTGATTCATTGTCTACCTTTCAACGCTATTATAATTTTTCATCGATACCTTTCTAAAATTAGTCTTAACTACGTTTCATTTCATTGAAACATTTTACGAAACGTTATTGTAATTCTATAGCATGGCTCTGTAATAATAGCATTATCATCTTCTAGCGTTGAGACGTACAGTGTTCGAGTGTACCAAACGAGGATATTAAAATACCGATGATTCTTCTCCTAAAACATTCGACTTCCGTTGGAACCGAGCTAAGAAAAAAGTGTCGAGAGATAGGTAACGACAGAGACGATTTCACGGATCGTCAACGCGACTGCATCATCCGATCATCAATGCCATGTTATTACTACGAGTTGTTCTTGGACGTGATTCAATTTCGCGAAACAACGAATCACGTTAAGTAACGTTAAGCAGGGATATCGAACAATTCCCGGTAATGGATAATAACCCATTCGACCCTATTGATACAACATTCTATCGCGATAAATTTGATAAAACTTATAAAACACTATGACAAAACTAATTAATCTTGTAAAATAGAAATAGTATTTTCAAGATCATAGCTAATCGCTAATTATCCCCGGTGTCTCGCCTAGAATTGGAGCGTATGACAAAGTTCCTGTCGACGCGAAATCAAATGCATTAAGGAAATCGTTTAAACAATGAGCAAGCTTTCACATCGAATTAGTGCTACTTGTGCCTCGTCACCGGTCACCAATAAATTGAGATAATTATTTTCATATAATTGGCTGATGACGCGCGCCAACCATGGATCTTGGCGTTGGTCGTTAAAGTGGAAACAAGTTGAACGAAATCCAACTGCTGTAGCAGATGCTCGCGGCATGTTGACAATCCAGTGTCACGTCATCATCAACAGTCCCGGTGTCCACACCAGCTCGGCTATAATCGATCTACGTCTTCCAGTTCTCGACTTAAGCTTTATTCACACCGCTAACCCTTCTGTTAATACCCATTTCCACGATGACCCATTTTCAATTGATATATTAACACGATCTAACAATAGTGTTAGTAGTGTTTTCGATAGAGAATCGAAATGAATAATACCGATGACAAGAATATTAATATTTTTCTGAGCAAATGAAAGGATTTTATCTACCGCAAACCGCGTCGCTAAAGCATTCCCGATCGAAACCATGAAACGACGTTAAAAAAGAGTGGAGAAAGGAAAAAAGAAAAAAGCCGAAACAATCCATTTCCGTGGCGAGGGTGATAGGAGCGATGGGGACACATGGAAACGCACCGCGGGAGATGAAAGGGACCCTCGTCTAATTAATTTGTTCGACTGACTCACCCTCGACTCTTCAGGTTCCTCCCTCCTGACGTTCTGGAAAAGGACGCTGCCCATCTGAACTTGAAGATTTTGCTGTAGTAACTGTGCCAATTGCGGATTTTGCGACAGAATGGCTGGATTCTGTTGTAGTAGTTGAGCAAGAGCCGGGTTCTGTACCAGAATCTGACTCAGGGGTGAGTTCGCCATTGCATGAAGGGATTGCGGTTGCTGTTGTTGTTGCTGATGCGATTCTTGCTGTTGCTGCTGCTGCTGCTGCTGTTGTTGTTGAAGGCTAGGAGAATTGGTGTTTGATGTTTGACAGGATTGAGATAGGTTACTAGGGGGTGGATTGTGTCGGGGTGGACTTTGGGGGGTGTGAGGTGGCGTCGGAGGGCTTCCTGGCGCCATCGACGAAGCATCCTTCTCTTCTTTCACCTTCACCTTCCCTGAAACAGAAATTAGTCCTCTTTCGTTAGTTTAAATTAATTTGGGAACGGATTAAATATTCCGATTATTCGAACATCGAAATTTCTGCGACGTTAATTATCCCCACGTACCGAAGTCACCCTCGACGTACCTTCAGACGTCCCGCTTCCATCAACACCGCGACGAGACTGACTGAGCGACTTTGATTTCTCCGAGATTTCCAAAAGCACGGTGGGGAGCAAGTCTCTCGATTGGTGGAAACACGGAAGACGGATCAACGAATGGAAACGCTTTATGGCGGTAAGAAGGGAAGGTTTTTTTGGCTGTTCTACGGTGAGACTCGTGAAATTGAGACGTCTCGATTTTGAAAAAGCCGCAATCGACTCTGGCAAGCAGGTACATCTGCTCCGGGTCACGTTTTTCAACTTCTATCCCTTCCACATCAATTCACTAATGGAGAATCCGTATAAAAATTCAAATTATCTCAACCATTGGGGGTAATCGTACCGATTAAACAATATAATCAATTCGTAGGTACCTATCGAACCGTGTAAATTAAAATTATTTTCAGACGAACCTGAAACCCATTGTTCTCACAAATTTGGTTGTTTTAATTTTAAAGAAAAATGAATGCAAAAAAAACAGCTGCGAATTAAAAGACTGTTTCCCCTATTTTTTTCCGAGGAACGAGACAAACGAATCCTGTGCATCCTGACGAGGGTTTAAACCGGTGCCAGCAGCTTTTAATACCCCCGGGTGCGAAGTCTACGATTCAGGTAGATCTGGCGGGTTTTATTCGCGCGAAGAGGATCCATGAGAACATCAAACTAGGTTCGTAAGGCCTCTCATACCTGCAGCTTTCGACCTGGCCAGTCGATCTCGTGGTCGCGAAAAAGAATAATACAAGCGAAGAAAAGAAGAGATTCGGAAATTTGAAAAAAGCTTCAAGGGGTTTGCTCGACTAGACCCCCCTTTGCTTGAATCGATGACGTATATCGAAATTACGCAACCCCTTAGGCTTCATTTTTACCTCTATCCCTATTTTTTTTATCCTTTATATAGAACCTTCAGAATTTTTTTTTTATTACCGAACGATTCTAGGCGTCGTTTAACGAGACGGATACGAAGCTCCTTCCTCGATGGCGATGAAAAATGACTATCCTCCGTGGTAATTTAGGAGAGACCGACAAACGTTGTGGGAAAACGCTTCGGGATTATTTTCAGGGGCAGACGGTGTTGGCCTTTTAATTGGATGGGATAATATTTTGGGACTTTGAGGTAGGATAGGTTAAGTTGGCAAAATAATTTAACGATAAAAAATCGCAACGTCTTGAAAACACGCGAATACCAGAGAGTGAAGGCGATAAAAAGAAGAAGAGCCGAAAAGTGACTTGAAATGATTTCGTACACGTTTCAGCGGTAAATGGATTTTACAGGAGATACTACCCCTGAAGGATCGCATGCACGTTCGCGTTATGCTTGTAGATCCCAGGCCGGATCCTTAAATTGACTCGATTTTTAAGGTCCAGGCCCGAAGAGGATCCTGCACCGCGGGGATCCTGTGTTTCTCTTCCTTTCGCGACGTTCTCCCTTTCATCTTTGCTCCACATCGTCTCGACTGGACGATTGATAAAAATCAAGTACACCGAGAACGTGGTGGAGAAACGAATCAAGGGTTGAGGAGGGGAGGGTAACGGTGAAATCGAAACGTCCGAGAAAGTAATCGTGGTAGTTAACGGATAACAGAAAAATTTACGAGTTAAATTGTCCGTTGTGTTTCGACGAATCGTGTGCACCTGGCATGGTGATTCGAAAAAAGAAAGAAATTTATCAAGATTCATTAATTATCCTCGAGGAATTTACGATACAATTTCGTGGCACTAGAACGTAATCTATATCAAACGTGTGGAACGAAAAACCGTGACGGCGACATTCGACCCTCTCGCCCCGTCAAGTTACAATTTCAAAAAAAAAGCCTCCCCGATCTTGGGCCCATTTTTACGAGATACTTAAGCCTTTAAATGGTCCAGCGAGAAAGCTGCCTCTCCGATTTCGAAATTTGCCCGAGAAATCGGTTAACCCCCGATATATATCGAGGTGCACGGGGGTCGCGCGCGATTTTTCTCAGGGGTTAAATCGACCGTGGCCCCCAAAAAATCGCGTTTTTTTTCCTAACTCTCTTCACAAGTTTGCAGGTAGCCACAGCTACCTGCACGCGCACGTCCACCGGGGTAACCCGGAAAAGTATCCAGCGGGAAAAAAAAGCTGGAAGAAAATAAAAAGAAGGGGAGCCAAACCGGGCTGAAAAAAGGAAAGATTACGCAAGAAACCTCGGAAAGGGGAAGAAAAACACGTAGTAGTAGGTTCACCCCTCGGCGAAACCCTCTCTGTTCGTTTTCTCGCTCTAGCAGAGAACGCCAGGGGTAAGAAAACAGGGTAAAAGTGAGTTAATAGTCGGTAAAACGGTATTCACCCCGTGACCCGTCAGGGTTACCCAGCTCCTTTAGGGCCGTGCCTTTTTTCTCTTCTTCCTCTTTTCTCACTACCCTGTTCCCGGTTCTTCTTCCGGAAGGGGTCGAACGGGAAACTCGTAGGGGTAGAAAGGGATCATCGTTCTCTTTCTCAGCGTTGCTACGGGGATGGAAAACCGAGACACGAGACACTCCTTTCGCTGAGAAATTTGAGTAATCGTTCCGGGACCATCGTCGAGTACCACCGGAACGAACGAAGGGTTTCTGATTTTCTTTTTTTCTGGAAGGGGAGAAAATTTGGCGTGAGAGAGAATCGCAACGTGGAAATCGCGACTTATCCGTCGATCTTACGATATTTTTTATTCCATCAGCAAAATAACATTCTACATAATATTACAGAAACCTGAACGCGAATAAAATTACTGGACAAAGTTGCCCCAGAGAGAAAGAAGGTAGAAAATATTCTGTCTGGATAAACAGGATCGTGGAATTTTATACGGTGTGTTCCAGGAACGCGTGAAATCCTCGCGTTTCGATGGTTCGCGCGAAAAAACGATCGTTGTCTTCTCACGGTAATATCGCAATTAGCGATAAGTCCGCGCGATCTCTGTCAGGCCAGGCCACTCCGTTTTACGAGGAATCGCATCGTTATTCGTGATTTAGGTATTTGAAACGCGCCAGGACATCGGATTACGAGCGCTCGGGGCTCTCGGCTTTCTTGTTTCCCATTAGAATCGAATTTCGTGCGTATCGTCGTTGTAATGAAACACGCGAGCGTTTATAGTATTCCTCGCGTTACGCATGCCTAACGTGCATACGTGGAAATCGCAACACGGATTTCACGATCTACAAACAAACACCATTTCCCACGCGACTCTTTCATTCACTCCGTTACTTATTTTTTTAATTATAATTAACAATTGAAAGGGTTAACCGTTCGAGTTAGCGAAGCGTTAGACGAATGTTCCCGATTGAATTTCAACTGTAAATCAAATTACCCTGACCCGGTCACCGGAATTAATAATTTAGCTAACTGGATTTAGCCGAGTTGCCCGTAAAAATAGAACTCTTCGAAAGTTCGTTGACATCGTTTCATCCTAAATTACGTGCGTGGACCTCTTGCCAGCTAATGCACCGTAACCTGTTCTTATTTTGTTCAAAATGCACTCGCAAATGCACAAATCACCCGTTACCGAGAAAACGACGCTGCCATATATCATCGTGTACTCAACGTTTATACGATGCTAACACCAACAAAATCGAAGCCAATACGCTAGCTTTAGCGTAACACAAAGAAGCGGGATAATTAAATTTCTCACCCGGAGGATCATCAAATTCGAAAAGACGAGGCACGAAATAGGGGATCAAGTATCGTTAGTCAGAAAAGTTGAGAAATAACAGGTCGAACGCGGGGCTGGTTAATGGTGGTTCATTTGTTAGCTACCCAGAGAAGGATATAATCCAATAATTTCGCGGTTGGGAAAAATGAAAATCGATTCGAGTGGTCTACCACAGACACCTGTTGAGGGTTCAAGGTCACCGCGATAAAAGACTCGATCCATCAAAGGGTGCAACATGGGTTGCCTAGGATCACGATGGAAAAGTCGAGCTTGGACGAATCTCTGTAATAAATCGTCGATTCTCCATCGGCTCGTCATCGCCGACGACGATATATCGACCGAGGCGAATCGACTCTCGTCATTAAAGCATCTCCAACGCGTTGCCGCGCATCTTCCTCTCGAAAAGGGCGTTCGAAGGATCGAAAAGCATCGTGGATATGGAAAAATGTTCGTTCGATTATCGCACGCTATCTTACCAAGGAATTTACTTGCGTTAAATTTTAAATAATCGACTAGAAGATGAAAAAACGAAAGGCTTCTCGAATTCGCGATGACGATCTCGCGAATATCGCAGAAAAATCGCCACAGGGAGCGACTCGGCACGAATTAATGAGCCATCTGCGTAATTTTTCTCGAGCGCGCAGGCCTGTGAAACGAGAATTCATCGGGGCCCCGGGTGTAACGTTTCCAAATTTTAATATTTGACCATAGGACGGAGAAGAAGAGCGAGCGACGGATAAGAAGTGAGACAGAGTGGAAGAAGAAGGGATGAGAGTGAAGCGAGATAAAGAGCGAAGGGCCCCGCGGGGCCCATTTTTAACACCTAACAGAAGTCAAGATGCCCGGCCGTGATTAGCCATCCGCCAGGCCACGATGGGGCCTTCTTTGGACGTTATCCTGTGAGAAATTGGCGGCCGTTCGTTCCTTTGTTCCAGGCGATTTTTTATTGACTCAAATTCTGAAAAAAAGACCATAGAAGCAAGATCGGATGGGATGGGTGGCGTTGGTGGCCGATGGTGGTGGTGATGGTGAACGAAGGGATGGCGCGAGATATGCAGGTTTTAGAATCCCGCGGTGCCACGACGCGGTGTGGGAGGCGATGTCGAGCGGATGAACGAAGTGTGCGAGAGGGAAAGGGGGAAAGATAGGGGGCAGAGAGAAATATAAAGACGGAAAGACACAGGGTGGTGGAGCGAGCTGAAGAGAGAG